GAGGCCAGAGGTGCCTCGGAGGCCCCACCCCTCCCACCCAACCTGACCCTCTGCCCAGGGAAAGGCTTGTGCACCCAGCACCCCTATTCCAGGGCTCAGGGTCAGGGGGGGTTTGGCCAAGACCGACCGACTCTCTCCTCCCACCTCCGCCCCTCCCTCCCCGCTGCATCCCAAACCCTCATCAACTGGACAGGACTGGGCACCCCTGGAAACTCCCCTACCCAGGACAGGACCACAGGGTCCCCAAAGCTGCCTTCAGGCCCTTCATGGGTGCTCCTCACAGCCCTGTGTAAACCTTCCCCCTCTCCCCCCGGCACATGGGACCAATCCCCCCTACCCCGCCTCTGCGCTCACTCTGCCGAGGCACCAGGAATCCCTCAGACACCCGATAGTTGTATCTGCAGAACGTGTCCACCGCGCCCCGCTTCCGCTCCAGGATGTCCTTCTGGCTGCTCCAAAGCTTCTCCTCAGGCCGCCGCAGCTCGGTCAGCGCCCGGTACTCCCCCACGTCGCTGTCGAAGCGGATGTCCTCCTGCCCATTGTAGATGTATGTCTCCAGGTACCGCACACGCTCCATCCCGTTGGAGAAATGACATTGGAACTTAATCTGCTGCACAAAATGCACTGTGGGGACAGGAAAGACCCATCAAGATGGTGAGAGAGGATGGCGGCAACGCCCAGTGTGGGGCGCCCAGGCCGAGGGACACAGTGTTGCAGAAGACCAAAGAAATACCAAGCACACTTCCTAGAGAAAGGGAGGGACCCCTTTATTAACAATAGTCGACTCCGGGAATAATTTCCAAATCACAGTGAGTAACACGCAGGGGGCTTCCCTTTTTATAACCTTCTGTGGTCTTTGTCTTGCAGATATGGTTCTGCCCCCTTTTGAGAGCTTACAGGAAGACCCCCAGGTGTTGGGGGTCCCCAGGCCATATTCGATGATCTGTCCTGGGCCCAGTGATAAAGACCTTCCCCCACCACCCCAAGGGCTGTACATTGTTCAGTTTTTATGGCCAGACACGCCTTTCAAGACCAGTTTCCTCCTCATCTCTCCCCCCGCCCCCCCTTGTCCCACAAGCTTCTTTAACCTGTGGAGCAAAGACCACAGGATGTTATGGTGAACAGGGGTGAGGACCGCTCTTAGCTACTTCCTGCTGGAAAGGGACGATGACCAAGGGGTTAGCATCCTGCTTCTTCCTCTCAGAGGGGTTTGTAGGGAGTTCTTCTGGTTTCAGGCAGGCAGAGGTAAGCAGTGGTCCCACATGCATAGAATATTCCTGCAGGGGGCCACCAGGGGAGGTGGTGTTTTCAGCCCTGGGGGTAGAGTTGCATAATTAATCTGGGAGGTGATCTGTTGGATGTTGGCCCAGTGTACTGCTGAAACAAATAGGAGCAACATTAGTTAGCTGAACATTGACTGTGACATGTCCTATTATTATTTTTTCCATCCAATACAAATCCCCTTCTCCCCTATGCATTTGGTAGTAGAGTCGTAACATGCCACAGGCTGATAAGTATAGCTAACAAAAATCTGGCTTGATTGGGTTTCGTCATGGACTATCCAGTCTAGCATATTTGGGTAGACAGTTTCTAAGCAAGGAGCAAAGGATGGCATGAAAAGGTGTAATCCAACAATATATGATATAAGGCCTTTGTTTCCTTTCTGTGTGGGGAGAAGTAATTTTGTGGTGCTTCTGTGTCCCACCAAGAGCAGATGAGTTCTTCTCCTGGTACTAGTCTCAAATTCTGCTGGCACTCATAAAAACACAAAATAAGAATTATTAGATAAAACCAGTGATTATCCAGAAACACTAGAGCATGTTACATTAAGAGGAGATAAGAAAGAAAGATTAGTGTTAGAGAGAATTCAGCAGGGTGTTATCTGAATTCCTTGGAGCAGGTTGCTTGGCCAGGTCTACTGACTTCTTGAGGGTGATCTGCAGAGCGTGTTTCTGGTCAGAGGTCACCTTCCACTCAGACTGGATGTCATTCAGCTGGTGGGCTGTATTCACCCGGGAGTGGTGGATTCAGGTGTTTAGTCCTACAACCTTAAGAGCTGTGGGGTGGTTAATATGACTGGATAGGACCTCTTCTAGGTAGGCTTGAGGGGCTCCTTTTCAAATCCTTTACACAAACTTGGTCTCCAGGTTTATAGGATGTACAACTATTCCTAGAGAGATGGGTAGTTAGTCAATAACCCACCTGTGGACCTCAAAGACAGTTTTTCCAAATCTTTGTAGTTGTTTCTGGATTTCTAAGTTCCCTATTTCCCCCAAATCTCCCTTTGGTTTAATTAAGAGTGGGGGTCTACCATATAGAATTTCAAAGGGAGAGAAAACTACCCTAGCTCTTGGGGCACAGTATACCCTCAGGAGTACAAAAGGCAAGATGTCTGTCCAGGGTAATGCTGTCTCTTGGCATAGCTTAGTCATAGACTGCTTTAGAGTCCGGTTCATGTGCTCCAGTTTCCCTGGACTCTGAGGCCTGTAAGCTGTATGTAGATTCCATTTAATTCCTAAAGCCTTGGCTATCTGTTGTATTATTTCTGCTACAAATACTGGGCCATTATCAGATCCTATGGTCAGAGGCATTCCATACCGTGGAATTATATCCTTCAGCAATGCCTTTGTGACTTCTCTTGCCTTTTCAATGTGAGTGGGATATGCCTCGACACAACCTGAAAAGGTGCAAAGACTAGCAAGTATTTATTCCCTCTGCTAGATCCTATTTCTGTAAAATCTACTTCTAAGTCCTCAAAACGAGATTGTCACACCACTGGATTGCCTGTTAATCATTGTTCTGAGCACAGAGGAGGCAACGCTGAGAGACTGAGGCACACAAGGAGGGTAGATGGGCAATTGGGTGGTACCTGCCTAACAAAGCTTCTAGGGCAGCCTTTCCTAAATGAGTTCATGCTGCTGGAGGACTACCTTATGTGCTAACTGTTCTGGGACATAGACCCTATGATCTGGGAGTGTCCACCAGCCTTCTTACAGGCCATTGTTCTTGGCCTCCTTCTTTCTGGACCCATTTCTCTTCCTGAGGAGTGTATTTTGGAGGTTCAGGTAATTCGGGGCCAACATGATCCATGCCGGTGCTGCTTGTTCTTTAGCAGCCAGCTTGGCTGTGGCATTAGTACACTAGTTTTCTTCTGATACTGAGTCTTTCCCTTTCTGGTGACCTTTGCAATGGATGACCACTATTTCCTTAGACTCCCAGATTCCTTCTAGTAACTTTAAAATCTCATTCTGATTTTTGATTCCTTTTCCTCCTGCTGTCAAGAGCCCCCTTTCCTTATATATGCCCCCTGGGATATGCAGGGTAGCAAAGGCATCTTGAGAGTCAGTGTAGATGTTGGCATGCTTATTCTTACTAGTAAGAGCCCTAGAATTCAGTAGGGCCCAAAGTTTTGCTCTCTGTGCTGACCATCCTACAGGCAGGGCCGATGCTTCAATTGTCTCAAAGTTTAATGCCACTGCATATCTGGCTCTTCTTTTTCCTTCATCTAAGAAGCTGCTGCAGTCTGTGAACAATACCAAATACAGAGGCCTATCCCTTAGGTCTGGCCGGCTGAAATAAACCTCCTCTAGGACTTCCAGACAATCATGCTCAGGGGCCCCCTCAGCAATGGGTAGAAAGGTGGCAGGATTAAGTGTTCTCACTGCTTCTAATCATACCTGCGGATTCTCACACAACAGCCCTTGATACTGAATCATTTGAGCATGAGTCAGCCAGTGCTGCCCCCTTGCTTCATATCAGGGTGACAACAGCATGAGGTCACAGTCCGACCCCTGATTTTTATTTCAACCATGGGCTCATGGGGGCCCAGTTGGAAAGAGCACAGTCTGCCCTAGTTGGAGACAGCTGTTGCCAGTCCGACGAGGTCTGCCTCAGGCAGTTCTGGCCTATAGTGGCTGGGTGGTATGGATGGCCTTGCGTGTTTCTTCTGGCGGCTCAGGTATTCATTCTTTCAGTGTCCTACTTCTTTACAGTAGGCACACTGGTCCAATTTAAGATCCCTCTTTCCTTTTTTTGACTTGGCTCCTTGCTATCTTCCTTTTCTTTTCTGGGATCTAGCTTCTATAACAGCCACAGCAATCAGAGTCACTTTCCTTTTTAGTTTCTCCCCAGCCTCCTTTTTTAGCCACATTGTCCCAATTAATGAAAACCTTGTTTACTATTTCTAGTAGCTCAGTTGCATTCTGTCCTGCAAACACCTTCAAGCTTCTGTAACTTTCTCCTTATGGCTGGCTGAGTCTGACTAATGAAGGCTGCATTGACCATAGTTTGATTCTCTGAGGCCCCTGGGTCAGAGAGTGTAAACTCTATATGCTTCACAGTGTCTCTCATAAAAGGCTGCTGGACTTTCATCAGGCCTCTGGAAAACCTCAGAGGTCTTAGCCATATTAATGGGCTTCTTGGCCCCAGCACAGAACCCCTGGAGGAAGGCCAGACAATATCTCTTTAACCTGGCCCTCCCATTCTCCAAATTTGGGTCCCATCTGGGTTCCACATCTGAGAGCCTCCATGGCCCATCTGTCTAATGTCCCTGGTGGAGCCTGGGTCTGTAACCATTTCCAAGCTTCTGTTATTATTCTCATGTGTTCCTCAGTGTTAAAGAGCATGAGAAGGAGTTGCTTGCTATTGACCCAAGTGGGCTTTTGGATCTGAAAGATTGGCTTGAGGTTTTTCAGAATAAGTGAGAGTGTGATGCTTCCAATTTAAGATATTGGTCATAGTGAAAGGCTGGTAGGAAAAGACTGATCCCCCTCCTCTTGTGGGGTCCTGTTTTCTTCAATTCTGTGAGAACCCCACATTTCTTCAAAAGGCATCTGGAAAGCCAGGAGTGGTTTGGGTCCCTGATCAGCTGAGTGCAAATGTCATCCAACTGGCTCTGGAGAGTGCATTTGTGGGGAGATGGAAGGAGGTGGTGAATCTAAGCTTCCCTGGTTGGCAAAGGGTCACTGGGTACTGCTTGAGGCACATATAGAGGTGGTAGAACTGGAAGGCTTCCTCAGGGGGTTCCTGCAGAATACGTAGCTTATTCTCCTTCTGAGGGTCCTGCCCTTTTTTCTTATATACACAAAACCAGATTCAAAGTGGCTTAAGCTCTGCTATTTCTAGCCACTGGTCAATATAAGGGAACTGGTCAGGATGACCTGGGTCTCCTGTGATAATTCTGTGAACATTCCTGATGGTGGAGACATCCAGTGTGCCATCCTGGTGGCCATCCTGCTCCAAAAGATGGCCAGTCTATTTCACACATCCTTTTTAACTCCCAGGGGACTAGTTTTACTTTGTAGTCCCAAACAAACCCCTTTTAAAAATTCCTTAACACACATTCTAAGACAGTTGAGTTTGAGGAGGAGCTATTACCCATGTTTCAGCGAGGGTCAGGGTTGCCTCCTCTTTAAAAAATACCTGAATAAAGAACTAATCAAAATAAGGCATATTTTCTAACTTTATTTGTCCTTGACTGTGGACAGCAAATGACACTAATCAGATTTCTATCAGTCTCCCTGATAGAAATTGACATAAACGATTTAGCCTCTGTTTAGGGAGGCAAATGCAAATCATTTACTCCCAAGTGTCCTTAGTTTAGGGAAGATAGGATTTACAAGATGGCTCCGATGTCCTTGATTTAGGGAAGATAGGATTTAAGGATTTAGGGAAGACAGGATTTCTGCTCAGTTTCCCTATTATACTTGTGCCAGCTTACTGGCCTGTCATCCATTCAACTTTCTTTCAAGATTTCTCTTTACCTTCCTTCATTACACCAAAGAAATACTTTCCAGGTAGTTAGAACTCTTAGCCTTAATTTTTAGGTGACAAGTAAATAATTAACATTCCTCAGATTAGCAATACATTCATATTTTTTAAGAGACACAAACAGAAATTTCACTAGCTAAACAATTTTAAACAAACAACAAAGACACATATTTAAACAATAAAGACAGATAACATTCTCCATTAAAAACTTTGAATCACCATGGAAACTCAGGAGAGGTTTAGAAGGGATTTTTAAAAAAACAAAACAGAAACAAACATAAAAATACTTTTACACTGGGACATGCCACATTTACACCACAGAATACCACCAAATAAGTTTCAATTGTGCAGAGATACAGAACAAGTCCCTGAAAAAAGGTAGTAGAAAACTGCCTAGGAACCCTTCTCTCCTACCTTTTTTTAAAAGATAAGCCTGAATCAAGCCCTTAGCCTTTCTGAGTCTTGATTTCCCTCCCAGAAGTCCCAGAGATGGTGAATACCTTCTAGAAGCCATTCTTACAGATACAGAACAAGTCCCTGAACAGAGGAAGTAGAAAACTGCCTAGATACACATCTCTTCTACCTTTTTCAAAGGCAGGCCAGACTCAGACCCTTTTCAAAATTTTCCAACATGTAATTGAGAACAGTGTGTTTACTTTGTCCCAACCCCTGATGATAGTTGGTGAGAGACAGACAAGGGTGCAGGGAAATTTACTAAAAGGCTGGAGGGTTTCCTGAAAGAAAAGATCCTTAATTCACAACAAGCAGGGGACAGAGTCTTTAAAAATCTCTCTGCCCTGCAGAGTTGTGAGCCCCACCCCTGAAAGTCCCAGTCAGACAAGAAAAGCCACAAATACCTTTAAATATACCCCAGAATTCCAAAATTTCAACCTAACACAGCAAAATCACAGAGCAAACCAAAGCCCCTAGTAAACAAACATAGACAGAAATTTTTACTAAGTGGGCTGATTTCTCCCATAATAGAGAGCAAACATCTCTGAGAAAACTAACTCAACAGCGCTGTTTGAGACTTTTGAAGACCATTACTGGTTAAGCTTTCAGGAAATCAAAGTTTTTATCAGATGAGGAAAGAGAAAATCAAAGTAGCTTTCGCTTTCACACAGACCAGTTAATCAGCAGATAATTATGCCAAGACAGATAAACATCCATATTCACACTCTCACAGACTAGCCCAGACTAGAGCTGAGCAGATAATACCCAACTCCCCAGATGGGCGGGGGTACTCCCA